GCTAGACTAGCCCTTCTGTGACTTGTGGAAAGCGAGAGAGAGAGAGAGAGAGAGAGAGAGAGAGAGAGAGAGAGAGAGAGAGAGAGAGAGAGAGAGAGAGAGTGTCGGAGGTGGTATTCTGTAGGAGACTAGGAAGTGCGGGTAGAGTAACCAATGGCATGTGTAGTGTTTCAGAAAACTCGGCATTGCTCTGGATTTTTGTTAATGTTTAAGAAGGTAGCTCTGTTCTTAGTTGCGATTCTTGGTCGATAATCTGTCAGACTCAACACGTAGCAATATTTGACAATTCAGGATTATTCAGCATTGATCTGCGTTTTTGATGGCGTTTAAGAAGATAGCTTCTGTCCTTAGTTTGAGGTTCTTGGTTTGCGAATCTGTGCTTCTCGACACGTAGTGATGTCTGCGATTAGATTGTCCAGCAGGCAATCATGTCCATTGCTGATTGTGATCACGTCCATTGTTGACTGCATTCAGCTAGATCACCCATCGTCGTGACTTTATTGGGCTGGGACACTACCTTGTGGCTGCTCATTCTTGAAGGAGAATTTGGTTGGTGGAGGATGGTAGCAGAGAATTAGAACACTGAAGGGGATCACTGATGTGTTTGTGACTAGGGCAACCCATCATCCATTATTACTGTGTGAAACACATAAATGGGCCTTGAAGGAAAACACATTTTGCATTCTTACTGCGTGAAATACACAGATCGTGGTGCTCGAAAGAAGGAGGGACATTGGGCAATCCATTTCCTGTGTGAAAGGCACAGAGCTTGCTTGAAATAAGCCCAATCGGTTTGCTGTGTGAAACACACAGGTGGTGTGGCGCTAGCAGCACATTCCATTTGATGTGCGAAATGCAAATGTAAGATCTATTTTGTTAAACCTTAAAACTAATAAAACAGACATGTTATATTTTTTGAACGAAATTGAAACCTACTTATTTGGCCTTTAAAATGTCACTGTTTTAGCTCCTGAGAGTCTGCCGGGTCTTAGCTGAAGTCCAGATATTACATCCCAGGGGGTCTGGGGGGGTCTGGGAGGGTCTGGCGTTTACAGACGGTGACATTCTTAGGGCCGAATGAGTTGGTTTCAACTTTCAAGTTCGTCCAAAAAATAAAAAATGTCCGTTTTAATGAAATGGCTGTTATATGCAGTGCTGTAAACCCGGTAGGACTGGTGGCCCCTCCCCCTCCCCAATACCGGAACCGGACCGGTCCTACCGGTCGGTCGACTGGGCCGGTTCCCCCCCGGTTGGCCGTTGCACATCGTTTTTTTTTTTTTTTTTAAGCCCAGGGTGTTTGAGAGGCCACATACTAACCCACGTTGATCGCTGGCAGCAGCAGCCGGTGGTTGTCCTGACAGGATAGGCCACCTTCCCTACCCTTCCCCACATTAATACTCCCGGTGCACCTCCTATCCCTACTATCCTACCTCAGTGTGACTAACACTCAGGACCATCACCCTACCAGTATCGAGTGCAACTTGGACCAGACAGCGGTGACAAGCACCAAGGAGCCGTAGCGCATCCAATCTGGGGGGTCTTACCATTTTTTTTTTTGGGCCAGGAGGCCTCCACGCAGGCCGTGGAGGTCTCCTGGCCCAAAAAAAAAAATGCAGGCCGTGGAGGTCTCCTGGCCCAGAAAAAAATCAGACCACGTCTGGCCAAAAAGGCTTGAAAAGGGCATCCTATCCAGACCGCTGATCTCGAGAGATCGGCAGCCCAGATAGGCCGCTGTTTTCTAAGTGCTTCGGTGGGAAGTACCATCCCTACCCTGCCACTAACAACCCCACCCCCCTTTCAAAGTTTTTCGGCGGAAGGTCAACGTTTGCAGAAAGGCAGGTACGCTGTTGTCAATGTCTGTTGAAGCCCGTGCTTGCTGAAACCCTGCCACTAACACCCCCGGGCCCAGCATTAACCCCCCAACCCCTGAAATAACCCCCTCCCCCCCTTTCCTCCCCCGCAACCCCCCAAACGAAACTTCTCTGTTCAAAGTTTTCTTTGCGTATTCGGGGAGATCACGGCAAGCACAGTCCAACCATGTTCTCAGAAAAATAAAAATAAAATCATTTTGACCCACTTTTGGGCCAAACCGGAATTCCGGTTGGACCACCCGGGAATCTGGCCGGTTGGCGGCACAGACCTGGTTATATGGTGTTTGAAGTTCGAAGGGTATTCCACTAAACCGCCAGTGTTTTTCAAATCCATTTTACTGTGACGCGGCAGTGCTTGCATTGCGTCTGGTGTTATGTACCAGCCTGCTGTTTCGCACGAAAAATATCTGCACAATACAGGTGTGCGTGTGTGTGTGTGTGTGTGTGTGTGTGTGTGTGACCTGTTTTGTGACTTTGTCTGAATTCTTTTACCGGGCGAAATGGCAGGTGGTACATCCTGCCAGACATGGCGTGAGCACTGCCGCGTTGCAGAAAAATGTCTTGGAAAAGTACTGGAGGTTTAAGTGTGTCAAACAAACAGATCGTGCTTCAAAGAAGCACATAGCATAATTTTCGCTGTGTGAAACACAAAGATGGTGCTTGCAACACGTTCTGTTCAATATTTTTTATTTTTATTTTTAATGCCATTACCTTTCCCAGGCAACATCTTTTTTTTTTTTAATGCTCCAATCTATTCGTGGGGAGGAGCACGTGCTGGGAACTGGGTCCAGCGCCCCTTATAATTGGAATACATTGATGATTGATGAAAATTTGGGATGATTCAGGAACACTGCAGGATGATTGAGATAATAGAGATTGATGCTGTCTACTCACAATGCTTATCCACTCAAAACTCACACACTACCCTAACCCTAATCTTAGGTATCCATATCAACCAGCCAGTCTCTACCGAGCCAATACTGTGTACCAACCAAGCCACTACCCGGTCTCACAACCCAATCTAGCTAGGTTACAGGGCAGCGCCACCCCAGTGCCGACCCGCGCCGGCCAGATTGTCGCCTTTGGTCAAGTATTGTGATTGCCTTCCACCCTCAGCAATCCCCAGATCTATATCCAAGGCCTCAAGCTCCTATGAAGGTTACAGGGCAATGCCCCAGCACCGGCCAGTGTCGTTCTGGTTTCTATTCAACCTGGGCACAAACACAAAAAACGCTCAATTAGGAAATCAGCTAGACTAGAATGTCACCTTAGAATTCGGATCTGATAATAATGGGATCCTGAGCAAACACCCAATCTTATGATGATGAAGATGATGTTGATGATGATGATGGAGATGGTGATACTTGATGTTGATTGACCCTCCCCTGTCCAGTGTCCTCCCCTCCTCTTTTCCCCTCTTGCCACACCAGCTCTCCCTTGCTGCCTCCGCTGATAAGAACCACTCTGTTGTTGAGAGGCTCCTCACAGCCGCAGCAATAGGAAAGCCTCCTTCTACCCGACTCCCCTTGAAGAAGGCTGTTCCCCCCAAAAGCCTACCTCAAGCTATATCTCTGTCCTACTCGGCCACCGCTAGTAGATGATGTTCCGCCTTCCATCTCTCCCAGCCCCAGCGTTAAACAGTCCCCCTTGTCCGCCCTTATTCCCTATAGGCAAACACTTCCCACCCTGTATTTCCCCTGCGGAAAAGAGCTCTCCCCACTCAATTCACCTGCCCTCCACGTCAGCAACCTTGTGGGGAGGATTTTTACAACCTCAAGTATAGGAAAGAACAGGGAAATAAGAATTGAGAAGTTGATGATGATGATGATGATGATGATGATGGTGACGGTGGTTCTTGATGTTTCTTTGCCCTCCCCAATCTCCTCCACCTCTTACTACTCCTACCATCCATCCCACCTCTCCCCTCGCTGCGTCCGCTAATTAGAACCCCCGTGTTGATGGCAGTTCATCAGCCCCAGCAAGAGACGAGCCTCCCTCTACCCTACTCCACACGAGGCAACTTGTTCCCCAAAAAAGTATCCTCACGCTATCACTGTCCTGCTCTGCCACCGCCAGACTGCTCCAGTCGATGATGTTCCTCCTTCCATCTTTCCCAGCCCCAGAGCTGAACAGTCCCACTTGTCTGCCATTAATCCCTAAAGGAAAACATCCCCCACCTTGTATTCCCCCTGCGGATTATAGCTCTCCCCACTCAATCCATCCAACCTTCATTGCTGGAGAGGGCGCGTACAACATCAAGCGTGGAATCATCGAGCGTGGAATTATGAAAGGAGAGAAAAAATGAATACAGCTACAGATCAGACGATGATTATGATGATGATGATAATGATAATGATAATGATGATGATTAGTTGAAGAGGCGACGAACAGCTTGATGCCTAGGATGTCAGATTGAAAAAGAGAATGAGGAAGAAAAAATAATGAAAGGAGAACAGCGCGGTGATACTGCCTGTTGATGGAGAGAAGAAGGTGATTTTTTGTTCAGATTTACACGCTCCTAATGAGCATGATGGGGAATCATTGGGGATTAGGGCGTACTACTCATTTTGAATTTTTCTTTTTTGATAAGAAGCAACCAAGTGTAATTAGTTATGAGAAAGAATGGAGGGGCACACTCTCCGTTGGTGATTACGGAAAGAGACAATTTGGAAGAGACCCCCAGTAGCCGCTTGGCAGCCAGGGGAGAACGAAGAAAACGATGAAGATCGCACTGATGAGAACTTGGACGAAGATGACGAGCGGTAGGAAGATAATGGCCAGCAAAGTTGATGACCCGTGATGAAATACGGATTGACGCACAACAGAACGAAAGACTTCGGATGATGATTACCTGCACGAGACAGAAAACAGAAGAAAACACACAGATAGGTTGATGATGACCTCCCAGCAGCTCTCTTGATGATATTCTCCCAGTAGCACTGGGATGATTCTTCAAGCAGGACCAGCGTTCTCCGCACTTTGGTCTCCACGGGGCGGACTCCACTTTCCTCCACCGATGTCCACTGTCGCCAACTCGCATGAGCTCTCCAGCCTCTTTAAACCACCATTACCTTTCCCCGCTTGAAAAACAAATACCCACGGGTTAACACAGGAGGTGGGCGGGTTCGGCACTACCGGCGGGAAACGGCTGGTGGCGCCAGCCAGAAAGAGGCCTGCGCTGCTTCGTTTTTTTTTGGCACACAGGTCCATTGTAGGCTCGGTACCGATAGCTGAGAAAGGTACTGGCGGTTTAAGGGCATTGGCTATGGAGTACTTCATGTGAAAAACACGGGGAAAATGTTCAAACAGCAGCCGCCACTACCATTCTCCCTTTTGCTCTGTGCCTACCAGACCAAAATGGCTGGCGGCACCAGTCAAAAGGGAGGGGGGAGGGGGGAGGGGGGGGGGGGGCGGGCACGTGGTGGCTCTGTTTTTTCTTTTTGGCACGCAGGGGGAATCAGCCTCGCCAAAAAAGACGCTTGGAGGTATTGGTGGTTTAACGTGTGAAACACATACGGGTTTTGGACTTCGAAGTTTAAAATTTTAAATGGCATTTTTTCCATTGACCGTGTGAACACAGATGGTGCTCAAACCTGAGGACTGGACAGAAGTGAGCTCAAAACTTTGAAGGGTGTTTTTCCAGGAACTGGGATGCACAGTGATGCTGTGTTGGGAACCAGTAAGGCTACAGCTTCCCCCCGAACTCAATGCACACCCTCATCTCGGCTGTACCTGGCCGGAACTATAGGTTGTATGCATTGATTATCAGGGTGCATTATGTTTGGGGGAAGACGCTAGCGTACCACCAATTAAGCCACC